GCGGACATGCTCCGGAACGCTGAACTTATCCTTGGCCGTGAAAAACAGGTTGCCGGGGATCTGTTTGAAGTCGGTCTTCACATATGTTTCGTCGTCCATGATGCAGCATTCAACTTTCGTCAGCATGTTGAGGTACAACTTCCTGGCACGGGTTTTGGCGGACTTGTTCTGCTTCTCGTCGCGATTAGGGGCCTTTTGTACCTTGAACGTTCGAAGCCCAGCCTTAGTTTTGGCCTTCTGGACAAAACTTCGGCTTAGGTGCAGCTTCTTAGCCACATCCCTAACGGAGGCGTTCGGATTTCGGTTGAAGGCCCCAACTACGCGGTTGTGATTTTTGGTGTTGTACGGAATACTTTTTCCTTCACTTCTGGGCTTCCGATTTGTGGTCAACCGTTCCTCGAACCGCTTAATCACTCGCGACACCGTGGAATTCGCGATTCCCAACGTTTTAGCGATGGAACGATGCGAGAGATCCTTGTTCTCGTGATGAATGCGCAAGATTTTATCACGCACGAGCTGTTCTTTCGACTCCATTTCCGCGAGTTTTGATCACAGGACTTTAAAACTTGCAGGATGTAAATAATGCACTATGAACTAAATCCACCCAAATTTTCATTAAATTCTACCCAACGGTTAAAAAGTTAGAGCAATTTCATAGTGTGGCAATTTCATCGTGGACACCCTTTATTTTAAACTTTTTTAACGTGAATTTATCTCAAGATTGATCATTCTTTTTGCAGTGTTTAGGATAGGCCTACATTTTGTCGAAGACATAATATCAAGAAGACTGGCAACTTTGCCAGAATCCAAGCGACAGAGAGCTGCACTTAAGTGAAGGTGGAAGCAACGCATAGAAAAATGAGCTAATACACAAACCTTTCTTCTGAGGATGTAATCTTTGCTATCAAATTCGTTCGAAGCATTTACTTTTGAGCGGCAGATGACGCAATTTTACCTGCCTCGTGGCGGTCGTACGAGAATATGGAAAAGTTGCCAGTCTTCTTGATATGTAGTCATCGATTTTGTTCTAATTTTTGAACAATTCGAGGTTGATTTGGCTAAATAAAGTTCCCTGAGTTTTCCAGGTTTTTCCATAACTTTGGCGGATAATTTCCAAATTTATAATAAGAAAGCTATTTATGAAATGCGTTTAAAATATGATTTTTTTGAACAACAAAAAAAAACAACAACAATTAACGCAAGTACGTTTTTAAAACATGACAATCAGCTTGACTTCATTTTAGTAAGTCTATGATCACAACACTTTTAATGTCTTGCAGTTTCTTACTAGCAAAATTGTGGAAACTTTTAAGAAGTTCTATTTGTCTCAGAAAAACTAGATCTAGAGATCTTTAGGGAGTTCCAGAGATCTTAATTGGAAGTCCCCGAAATTTAGCCCAGACTATTGGATTGGTTTAAAAATCTATAAGCGTGAGTTTAGACTAATTCAGGGTAATTCCATTATGTGCTGAAATAAAATCGAGATCCCTTAAGATGTTCCGAGCGATTCAGTACAGAGACCTACAGAAATTTTTTGAAAACTTCAGAAATATTTCTGGAACTTCACAGAAATCTAGAGAATTCCAGGGAAATTTAAAGGTGTTCATGAGAATTCCATTTACAGCAGAACCGAGATCTTTATAAAAATTGCTTTAGGGAAGATCCGAGAACATCAAGACCAGTGATGGAAAAGTTCGCGAAAACTCACTATGACTCGCGAACTTTTCCCTTGGTGAACTTCGTGAAATATCGCGAACTTTTCCAACACTGATCAAGACAGAAAGAATTAAAGGGCAGTTAAAAAAATGTCAAGGAAATTGCAGAAACTTTAAACAAGTTTCAAGATAATATCCGGGAGTTTCCAGAAACTTCGGTTTGCTCAGAGAAAATTTCTGGAACGCAATAAAAATTATTTGAACATCCGGAAAATGTGAGAGTATTTCAAGGGTGTTATATCATAAAAATTTCAAGATTTAAAATATTTCGAAAATTTAGCTAACTTGATTAGAAAACATCAACGAAGTTCCATAAATTAAAAACAAAAATGCGAGAACTTTTAGCAAGCACCGATATTTTCAAGAAATTCCAGAGAACGTCTAAAAAATTTAGATAGGGGAAATGGATGTAATGTCGGCCGAAATGCCCCTAATTTGGGCCAATTCAGCATTCGACTAAATTTTCAGTAGTGACAAAAAATGTCCATTAGTCCCAATTGATAAATAGCAGATTTTTAGCAATTGGCCCAATCTTAGATTCATAGGCCAACATTAGAGCCATTTCCCCTATGTATCAGAAAATTTACCGGAAAATTTGATCTATTTAGAGAAATTAAGGTGAGCATAGAAAACTTTAGGCTGGACTTTCCATGGAAAATTAGTGATTTAAGTCAAAGTTTCGTGAGCGTTTATAAACTTAATAAAACATAAGGAAAATTGTAGAATTTTTAGACGATTCAATCAATTCCAGTAAAATTGTAGATTCTTTAAAAACAAACTTAGACATTTAGGGCAGTCTAGACAATTTTAGGAAAATTGAGAAATTAGTTCTATTAGTTTCACTAAATTAGCGGAAAAATTTCAAGAAGTTCCCAAATTTTCAGAGAACTTTAGGGATGTTAAGAAGACTATTTAGGTTTTCTCATAAGTCCAGAAGCTCACGAAAGCTTAAACGTTTTTAAAAAGTTCATGCAAATACTTTAAAGAAGTTTCGAGAACTTCAAGAAAGATATTGATCTCGTTAAAAATCTAAAAAAAAAGATTCATGACCGTAAGGAAAATTGTGAAAACTTTAGGAAGTCCGAAAAAGTTTAGAGAAGTTAAAAACAATGATGAGAAGTATTGCGAGCATCAGGCTAGTTTCTCAAACTACAAAAGAACTTCAAGGCAGTTTCATTAACTTCAGGAATATTTTGGGAACTTTCAAGTTATTCAGAATAGTCGATTGCAAATTCAACGGAGACTTATCATGCAAATTTGCTTGATGTTCACCTTACCATTCACTAGTATTCTCACGAAACTCTCATGGAATTATTTCAGAAATTCTCTTGGAACGCTTCTCTGACTTCTCTAAAAAATATCACAAGAATATGGTTAGAATACTTCTCGCAGGTATCCTCCGAATCAATTTTTCTTTTAATTTTCCTAGGAATGGCATTGAAATTCTTCTCAGTAAGAAATCCTATGGAAAGATTATCAGAATTTTTTATTGAATTCATTTCAGATTTCTTTTTTAATCTTACTCCTTCCCTTGGAATTCTACTCACATTGAAAGCCTCATAAGAATTCATTTTCATTTCTCCTCACAAATTCCTTAGATTTCTCCTCTTAATTTGTTTGGCAATCTCTCCAGGAGTTATTTTCTGAATTTCTTTGAAGATCTCCTGGAGTTATTCTCAGATTTAATTGTAATCCTCCTTTTAGCACCCCCTTCACTCCCTAAGTATTCACCAAAAAAATACGATGACTTATGCTCCGATTTCAAATGTGTGAATGAAAATAACTAGGAATATTGAATGTTTTTATTTTTTTAAATTCTTTTCAATTTCCAATATTTTTATGAAAATCAAAACTTAATTATTTTTTCGGAGCCGTGAACTTTCCCTTAAGGGGAAGTACACCGCTTCGAAAAAAATAATTACGTTTTGACTTTTCTAAAAATATTGGAAAAGATATCAAACATATAAAAAAATCACATTTTTTCTCATGAAAAATCAGGATTTGTTATGGATACGAGATGAACTAACCTACGACTAAAAATCTCAAAAATAAAGTAAAAAAAATAAAATAGATAAGATCGACAAATAGATAAGATAGACAAATAGATAAGATAGACAAATAGATAATATAGACAAATAGGTAAGATAGATAAGACAGAAACAATAGATAAGATAGACAAATAAATAAGATACACAAATAGATAAGATAGACAAATAGATAAGATAGACAAATCGATAAAATAAACAAATAGATAAGATAGACGAATAAATAAGCTAGATTGATAGATAAACATCCAAAAATCTCTAATGAAAATAACTTGTTGAACCCCGAATTTTTAAAATCTTGGGAAACGAGTTGTGTGTGCACCGTGTAGATTAGGTTTCTAAGATCTAGTTCAAATTCTAACCTTTTGGATTACCACTTCCGTTGACTTAGGATTCCTATCAAACCAATCAAAAAAAAATACGGTTGTTACATAAATCTTTTCTCCTCGAGTGACAGTCAAATAATCAAAGCAAAACGGTATGACCCATTTAACGGAATTATTTTCCGAGCGAGCAGTGCCAAAGCACGAGGAAAACTATTCCAACCATATTTCTTTGGCAAATCGTATGAATGTTTCAGTGGTAGGTACAACACGTAGGTACCTTACCTAAACCATTGCAACAGAAACAGCACAGAAAACGCGTTCATTACTCTTTACTCTTCAACTACCAGAAGAGCATCATCCGGCGCTTTGTGTGGGTGTTTCAAGTCTACACTACTTCTTCTAGTCTAGGCAGTGGACTGTTTCGCTTAACGTCATCGCTTCGTGTGGCGGTCATTCTCTATCCATACAATAATAATGATGAAGCGTTCCAAAAACAAAAAAAAACTATACCCTCAACATTACATTACCATTGTATGGGTATGGAAGCACTGCAATAGAATTTGTTTAGTGGATGACTTTTGAGCAACACTCTTGCTCAAAACATAAGGGGCTGCAAACAAAAGTAGTGTTGTGTTTGTATGCACAGTTTGACAGTTGTTCTGTCAAACTGTGAAGTCGTTCAGCAGCATGACAGTAGGCGAGCTTGGGGTTGACGATCACTCAAAATATTTTTCTCTTTGGTTCGTGTTCGCTCCTCGCTCTCGTTTGGTCTGCTCTGCTGTGGGTGCAGCTCGCAAGCTGCTTCCGACGAAGGGGATTTTTCCATCGGATTAAGGTGTTAGATTAGTTTTAATCGCGTAAATTCGGCTTGTGACCAATGGACTAATTGTGTTCTCTTCGATTTTTCATTGCAGGTGAAGTGTTGGGTGCGTACGGGCGTGAAGAAAAGTGCACGAAGAAGCACGGAGATAGTTCGCCATCATCGGAGCAGGAACACTAGCGCCGCTATCGTGAACGACGACGAAAGACTGCGACAGTGAAACAGCAGCAGCAGCTTTCACTCACATAAGCGCAAGAAGAACGAGTATTTTACAGTGCGTGTGTCTGTGGCGATCCGAGACTGCTGCAAACGGATACACTCTACCGTAGGCAAAAGTGGAGAGCCGGACGGGGGCTGTGTGTGAATTTGACCAGAAGAAAAAGTGGAAAATCGTTCGGAAAACAAACGGTTCAAGCGCGCGCGAGTACAAGAGAAAAAAAATTAAATTAAAAATCGATTTTAAGTCGTTCTGTGTTCGTCAGTGGGAGATTTTAATTTTAGACTTCAAGGTGTCTAGAAGGGTAGGGCCCTCACCGATAGAGGAAGGTCCGCGATGGGTAATTTTCTAAACTTTTGACAGCAGCACGCATATTTGCAGCAAATGCTGTACCAACACACTCGCGATTCGTGGGGTGTCTGCGCAAAGTGAGTGCAGAGTACGGTAGAAGAAGTGAAAATCGTTCGTAATCCATTTCGGAAGATGATAAGGACCCTTCGGAAAATGGTGAAGTGATAAGGACCTGGTGCGGTAAAGGGACCCTATTGAAAACTGACGAGTACGGGATCAGTAGGTCATTTTTAGTGGACAAGAGTTCGAGAACATCACGCGGCGAGTTCCATCTGAAGAGTTGGGGATGTGCGCGTGGAATTCCCTTTTCGGATGGCAGCTGTAGTAGTGGGCAGTGACGCGCGAGAAGACAGGTGAACCCTACCCAAAACACTCATACAGAGTAGAACTACCACCACACCACCACGACCGACACGGTCACCGTCAACACTAGAAGTTGCTATCCGTCGCGGCAGACTGGCGACGAAGACGACGGCGAAAGAAGAGTGTGATTTTATCTGATTGAATGAAAAAAAAAGGATCAACCCGAACGGAAGATTGCCGTGTGATTAAGTGACGTATGTAATCCCAAAGATTCGTGCGCGTTGCATTGGTGTGTGGAGGAAGTGTCAATCAGAGTGTGTTTCAGAATCACGCAATTTCATCCATGTGAAAAAGTGAAACCAAGAGTGAAAAAAGTGCATAACTGATAATCCCAAAAAGAAATTCGGGTAAATCCTTGTAAATAGAGATACATCACGGTCGTCGTCGGTATCGGTGCCGACGGCTGGCTCCCGTGGCGAGACCGCAGAAGGATTTTCTATGCCTGTGTACATAGAGCAGTCAACCCAACGCGCTCTCTGCATGCATTAAGTGACGTGCAGCAAAACTTGCCGACAAGCGCGAAAGCTGTAAAAATATCTACCGATCAATTCCTTCTTATTATCATAACGTCAAAATAACCTCCTTCCCCAAACGGTATCTGTGAGTACCATACAGTAGTGTAGTGCTGGGGGCTATCATAGTGCTGCTAGGTGTATCGTGTGACAACGGAAGAAACCTGCTACAACAACCACAAACTGACTGTCCGACTAACTCTACCGGGGGTTTGTGGAAGCAATTTTTTTTTGGTTCGGTGACTCGATTGCGGAAAATGCAGCGTACCAAGGAACAGCAACAGCAAGAACAACAGCAACGTGAAGGTCGCGAACGTGACGTTGCACGACAGACAAGGTGAATGATATGGATTTTTCTATGCTCCTCTCTCCTTCCCTCGTATACGCCCGCAGTGTATCTAGGTTTGCTCTGTATTTAGATTAGCATCCACTCCACCTACGACCATGCTAGACAACCAGCCAACGAGCGGACTGCTAGTTGATGGGCGAACTGGTTGTTCGCGTGGGTGGACTTGCGTGCTTTTTTTTTTGTTATTGCTTCAATTTAATTTTATTTTTCTGGCATAAAAGTTGTTTCAATAGACGAAAAATAGAGAAACATGTTCACGCGGATATGTTGCACGGAAAACTTGTTAATGTTCGTTAAGTCAAAATTGTGGGGAAACGTACCCGGGTTGTTCGAACATCAATCTACAACTAAATGGAATTGTTCTAAATGTTCTCAGAAGTTGTGTGTATAATGAAAATCCTCTGGAGCTGCTCTAAAAATCCTTGGGATACGCCACACAGTAAAACATAGTTGATAATATTGCTTTCAAAACGATGTACATCACCCACGTCAATTAAAACGTGTAATAGTCCCGATGTATCAAAAACAATCGATGTTACTAGCCGATAACGAAACTATTTTTGATTGATCGATTTGGAAATAAAGTTGTTACTTTGTTGGGGCTGTGGATCATAGCTGTTATTTTGCAAAAAATACCAGCTAATGAAACCAAAATGTGTAAAATCGACCATAACATGCACTGAACTGACAGAGAACATTTTGTCTTGAGAAAGGTGGAAACCCATGGCCGAAACGTCAGGCACATCAAATTGGATTTGTTAAAGTGAGTTTATGACCGAGAAAACCGTTCAAAGTAGCAATCCTATCCAGTCCCACACAGTAAAACATATTCTGTAAAATCGCATCGAAATAGATGCACTTCACACAGGTCCAGAAAGTCACGTAATTGTGTATCTACTGCAGCGGATGACGTACCCATTTTCGATTGGTAATTTTTACAAGAAAATTGGAAATCTGAATTCATTACTTGAACGTTGATATTTGTGCTATAGAAGTTTGTTTAACCCTCTTAAATCTAAAGTTGACGCGTATGCAACTTTCAATTTAGGTACTTGAAATCGGCGACCGCGTTAGGGATACCTGGTATTCGCTCATACAACTTGGATCTCACTTCGACGATTTTCGGAGCTCGTTTAAATTCTATTTTACACAAGTGTGCGCATTTCTATCTGAGGGTGGAAATCAAAATGCCATATTTGAGGCAGCATTTTAATGCTGATAATATTGATTGCAACTACAGAGGAAACTTCGAATGTACGATTGTTTTCGGATTTCGTCACTACTTTTTCGACACTGTTCGGAGTCAGTAAGACCTCATTTTCAAGAAGGTGGAGAGCAGATCAAGAGCGTTGTTTACCAATAATATTGCCTCTTTACAGATGCAATATACCTTCGTATCTTCGACATGGCTGAAGTGCATTGAATTTATTTCAGAAAATACAAGGATTGAATGTAATTGAATGTAAACAATCAGAAAATTTGCTTTTTAGACTAAGTTGCGTTGGAAAGGTGCACTGGGCTTTTAGTATTGCATCACGAAATATCCCGTTGATGGTTTTTTTCACTGTGCAGTCGTCACCATCATTGATAGTTGTTAATGTGACTGACAAAAACTACACCTGCCCAAAAGCAACATGCCCGTGATCGCCAGCTTAGGTTCTTGAAATTGATATCCTTGTTAGGGAAAACACCCGCCAATCTCTCTCGCAAATTGGGTACCCACAGTGTTTTTTTTGAGCTCTTGTCGGTTTTACCAAAGTTGACTTGTTAAGCGATCTATTTACGATCGTGTGTAAAGATTTACGAACTACATTCCTTCCTAATAAACAAGTACCATAAACGAACGGTAATCCGGATGGGGCTGTTGGAAGTCAGCTAAAGTCATACCCATCCGGAAGCTTGGGAAGGATCCTACCTCTCCTTCTAGCCACCGACCTATCAGCCTTTCTCAGTGTAAACAGCAGTTATCATCGGCTTCCAACATCTGTCGTCGAAAACAATATCTTACTCGAGGATCAGTTTAATTTTCGGAAAGGTCGATTAACCGTCCACCAACTGACTCGAGTGTCTAATATTCTCAGACGGAACAAGTCTGTTTCAAAATCATCTGCCACGGCATTGTTAGAAGTTGAAAAGATACGATCTTGCTATCGTCCTTGTGAAGTTCAAGTCTCAAACTACGGACGAGCACCTGAATGGCGAAGCAGCAGAAAACGAAGGAAGCACGCCCAGAAGAAGACAGGCTACTGACCCCTGATCTTTAAGAACTTGAGGAGGAGATCGGTCGGCTGAAGAACAACAAAGCAACTGATGTAGATCAACTACCAAGTGAGCTATTAAAATACGGTGGTGAAGTACTGGCTACAGCACTGCTGTCTGGGTAATTGCCAAGATTTGGGAGGAGGAGATATTACCGGTGGAAGATGTCGTAAGCCCAATCTATAAAAAGAGCGACAAGTTGGATTGCTGGATAAACTAACGCGATTGGTCAAGGCGATGATGGATCGAGTGATGTGCGTTGTTCGACTATCGGGGACACTCTCGAGTCCCTTTGAATCTCGAAGGGGGTTACGGCAAGGTGATGGACTTTCGTGTTTGTTATTTAACACCGCGTTAGAAGGTGTGATCACAAGAGTTGGGATAGACACGAGTGGCACGATCTTCAGAAAGTTCATCCAGCTTCTTGGCTTCGCCGATGACATCGACATCATGGCACGGAACTTTGAGACGATGGCGGAAACGTACATCATTCTGAAGGCTGAAGCTAGGTGGATTGGACTTGCCATCAACGCATCGACGATGAAATACATGAGAGGCAGAGGTTCTAGGGAAGATAATGTTAGCCTCCCACCCCGAGTTCAGATTGACGGTGACGAAATCGAGGTGGTCGATGAGTTCGTGTATTTGAGTTCTCTGGTGACCGCCGAAAATTATACCAGCGGAGAAATTCAAGACGCATTATGGCAGGGAATCTATCTAGACCGGTGGTCCTCTACGGCCATGAGACCTGAACTATGCTCGTGGATGACTAGCGCGTCATTGGTGTTTTCTAACGGAAGGGGTTGCGTACCATCTACGATGGAGTGAAGATGGATGACGGAACGTGGATGATTGAAACACGAATTGCACCAGCTGCTGGGAGAACCATGCATCGCCCACACTTTAAAAATTGGACGACTACGGTGGGCTGGGCACGTCGTAAGAATACCGGACGACGACCCAGTGAAAATGATTCTCGAAAGCGATCCAACAGGAACAATAAGAAGAGGTGCAAAGTGGGCAAGGTGCATCGACCAAGTAGAAGACGACCTGCGCTGGCGACGTGTGGCATTGGATAGAGTAGAGTGAAGACGACGTCTTCGGACAGCAGAGGACACCAAGGCCTTAGCCTGATTGGTAAGATAAGTAAGTCTACAAATCATCATTCTCATAATTGAGTACGATCTGGGAGATTTGTGCTACAATGTCATCACCTTAAGCTACAAAGGGTTCAGAACAAGATCCTTAGAATGATTCTTAATAGTCTTCTTCTTCTTATTCTTTTTCTTACAGGCTTATTACACTTCAGTAGCGAGCGTTGTAATATATTAACGTAATTAAGATGGAGAGCCCTTTAGGCGAAATGAATTAAAATGTAACATGGCCTGCCTGCGCTGAACTGTCAGAGGGAACGGCTGTGAGAGACTTTTATTTTTTGAATATCTGGAGTCTGCTCAAAAAAATATTCATCTATAAAAATGTCTTATGCTTTATACTCTTTCGACTAATGTTTCCCTTTCCTCGCCATATTTGGTTACCCAGGAATCGAGGAACAACTGATGACTCATACCGCTAAATCCTGGGAATCAGGAAATACTTTTATTCAGTGAACAAATAGGTCATCAAAATGTTCATTTTTTGATTTCCTGAAGTTTATTTTTCAGCTTTTCCCTGGAGGTTTCTTCCATAAGTTATTTTCCGATCCGTAAGCTAGTTCGTCCGTCGTCTCCCGCCTGTTTTTTCAAGCTCTATAAGGGTACGCTACCATTTATTAAAGACAGTTTCATTAATATCTGTTTACATTCGAAAACCCGGGAATTTCAGAAAAGTCCAGAGAACTCCAATGAATCTTTTCAGAACATCAGATTTTTTTTTTTTTTTTTTTTTGGGTACTTCACAAGTCTAAAGAATTTCAGGGAAAATTACTGGTTTTCAGGACAGTTCCATTTGTTTCACGAGAATTTAGAGAAGCTATGCGAACATCAGGATCGATCAATTAATGTCAAAGAAATCAGCAAATTTCCTAGGGGTTCATGAAAATTTTGGAAACGTAAGAGAAGTAATATGAACATTAGAAAATTGTGTTAACACTTCAAGGCAGTTTCGAAATATTTTAAAATTAAATCAATCTGGAAGATCAGAGAACTTCAACCCAAATGTTTCATTAGTTTCCAGAAAATTTTGAGAGCACATAAGAAGTTCTGAAATCTTCAATAAAGTCCATAGACCTTGAAATAAGATAGTAGACTTTCCGGTGGTTTCACTATAATCAGGAAAGGTCCGAATGCTTCGAGGATGATCAGAGAACTTCAAAGCAGCCCCATCAGCTTCAGGAAAATTGCAAAAACTTTCAAAAAGTTCCGATGAATTATGCGATTATCCAAATTGCATTTCTGGAATGTTCCGAAAGCTTCAGGGACATTGTGAGGTCTTTAGGGATGTGTTATGAATATCAGAAAAATTACCAGATCATCAGAACACGTAAGGAACTTCGGGGAATGATATACCAACATACGCAAGAAATCCCTTTCTTCCGTATTTTTTTTCCCAAATTTTCCATGAAGTTTCATTCGACTGTTTCGTAAGCCCTGTGGCCTCCGACTTTCTGCAGAAGTTTCTTCCAATCTACCTTTGGGAACATGCATAAATGACTTGGCATTTGAAGGAGGAGGGAAGGGAGTTTCAGTAGTTGTGACCGTCCATGTATTAGGCATAGCAAAATCCACCTA